AGTTAAGTAATCAGAAATGTTTATCACACTAAAGTATTTGAAACTGTACCTAAAAAACACACAGATATTTCCAGCTGGGTAGCACACACTGGAAGCACACAGAAAACTTACTTCTCTCATCTGTAAAGCACATTTCTCTTTGCTAAGCTACACTGTGGACCTACTAACTAGCCTAAGGCCAATGAAATTATCAGCCATAATCTACCCCTCTCATGTCACCTCTGAATGAAGCCATTCAGGTTTCCAAAAGCACAAGCTTGCTTGGTGACAAGATTATCACTGTATTTTTTGTTTTCTGTATTTGTACTGTGAGAAGATAAGAATGGAGCTGAAGAAGAAAGCCAAAGCAGTTGGACTAAACTTTTTTTTTTCCCAGACAGATGAAAGGGAGCTTGCTGAAAGTGTTTCAGAGGGGAAATGTTAGTGGGGCCAGACTGATGCAATTGCTGTGGCAGTCCAGTTCATCATCATCCAAAACATCTGAATTCTTTTTTTTTTTTTAATTTTTGCTACGCTTTTTTTTTTTTTTTTTTTTTTTTGGTTAGAATGAGTTAAACTATTATTTAACCGTTATGCCTCAAATATCAACTACTGGAACAGGCAAAGGCATATTCTCGGGGACTGCAAAACAATTTCTTGAGAAGCAGCAGCTAGTGAGACCCACATTTTCAGTGCAAGCAAAATCTGCACTCCCTCCTTTCCCACACAGGCACTTCTGAGGGCTGAATCATGTTATCCCTGATGCTCCTCCCATATTTTAATCTAACCTAGAAATCCTTCAGTCTCAGAATAAACCACATTTTTGTGATCCCTCAGTCATTTTTGGTCCACTTTTGATAGTCTTCCTTGATCTCCAACTCCAGCAGCAGACACAGGATACCAAAGCAGTCACAAAAGCAACATTAACACACAGCCACCCTCAGCTGTTCTCTAGTACCTAAATCCAAGGATCATTTGAGCCCTTCTGTCACACTGGACATTCACATTTGATTAATTATGTGCTGATGCCAAGTCACTGCTCTGGTAGATGAAGATCTTTTGCCAGCAAAGTCCACTTTCTTTGCCCTTAGATATATGTCCTTATGGAATCTGCRCTGTAGTGGTCTGTATCCAGATCTCTGGATTCACTATATACTGTCATCCTCTTTAGTTCTGTCTCCTTTAACCAGYGTGTCCTCTACAAACACTAGCTTTCATTCATGCTACTGCTAAAAGACACTCAAAAGGTAGAACGACGGGAAGAATCACAAGTTTTGCAAGTGCCAGCTAGGAACACACCTGCTTGGGGCTGACTCCTCATGAAAAACACCTGCATTTTGAGATGTCAGCCAGCATTAAAATAGCTGCATGTGCGCCCCATTGCCTTTGTATAGCTCTAAATTCTTACTTAAAATGTAATGTGGCACTACGTCATGTTTCCTGAACTTTAATTTGCCTTAGAAATCATTAATTGGATACACCCCAGTGGGTGGTTATCTTGCTCTCAAGGGGAAGCAATGAGTGTTAGCTGAACAGCTGTCGAAAATAGGCAGTGGAATTCAAGCAGAAAATGATACAACTTACGCAGAAAGACTGGAGGGGCAAGAAGGGAAGGACACGGCGTTGAATGTTAGAAACAGGTGATGAAAAGATGAAAACAAGTGCAGTGGAATATGGCCTTTCCTCTTTTTCCTTTCAATCCTTAGATACAGGTTTGTGTGTTAGTAAGTGATGAGTGATTTGAGCTAAGCCTACAGAATGGGCAGGCACGATAAGCGAGAGGAAACGGCTGCACCCCAAATGGAAGTGTGCCAGGGCCTGTGCTCACCCTGTGCCCACGTTGCCCCCAGCGCCCGTGGCGCCGAGTGAGGTGAGGCCGCGGTGCCTGAGTGCCTCAGCGGTGCCCGAGCGCCTCAGCAGTGCCCGAGCGCCTCAGCGGTGCCCGAGCGCCTCAGCGGTGCCCGAGCGCCTCAGCAGTACCTGAGCGCCTCAGCGGTGCCCGAGCGCCTCAGCAGTGCCCGAGCGCCTCAGCGGTGCCCGAGCGCCTCAGCGGTGCCCAAACGCCTCAGCGGTGCCTGAGCGCCTCAGCGGTGCCCAAACGCCTCAGCAGTGCCCGAGCGCCTCAGCGGTGCCCGAGCGCCTCAGCGGTGCCCAAGTACCTCAGCGGTGCCCAAACGCCTCAGCAGTACCCGAGCACCTCAGCGGTGCCCGAGCGCCTCAGCGGTCCCCGAGCGCCTCAGCGGTGCCCAAACGCCTCAGCAGTACCTGAGTGCCTCAGCGGTGCCCAAGCGCCTCAGCGGTGCCCGAGCGCCTCAGCGGTGCCCAAGCACCTCAGCGGTGCCCGAGCACCTCAGCGGTGCCCAAACGCCTCAGCTGTACCTGAGTGCCTCAGTGGTGCCAAACCGCCTCAGCGGTGCCCGAGCGCCTCAGCGGTGCCCGAGCGCCTCAGCGGTGCCCGAGCGCCTCAGCGGGGCCCAAGCGCTTCAGCGGTGCCCAAACGCCTCAGCGGTGCCCGAGCACCTCAGCGGTGCCCAAGCGCCTCAGCGGGGCCCAAGCGCTTCAGCGGTGCCCAAACGCCTCAGCGGTGCCCGAGCGCCTCAGCGGTGCTCGCGTCCTGCCACTGCTGAACTCGGCAGTGCTGAGGTGACCCTGACAGGACTAGAGGAAACGGCCACACACAGAAGCAGCAAAAAGAAAAAAAACCTTGACAGTGAGGGTGACAGAGCCCTGGGACGGGCTGCCCAGGGAGGTTGTGGAGTCTTCTTCTCTGGAGATCTTCAAATCCCGCTTGGACTCAGCCCTGTGCCATGTGCTCTAGGTGACCCTGCGTGTGTTGGACTGGGTGATCTCCAGCGGTCCCTTCCAACTTTAACAGTTCTGTGATTCTCTGATTCTTCCCCAGGCACCTCCCGGCCGCGCACACGGCCCAGGGCAGCTATTGCTGGATATCCGCGCTCCCTGTGTGTCTTTTCCTCAGGGCTTTTCACTGTGCTGCCCTCCACATCCATCAGGCTTCACCCACCACCAGCGGTCATGTGTGGCCAGCCCCGCGGCTCCCTGCAACACCTTCCTCCTGTACCTGCAAAAAAATAAACATTTTCTAAGACCACTGCCTGCAATGCTGCCTTTTCCTCTCTGTTTCTCCTATGTGCTTGCACCCATTTTTCTTGCACCCGAGCTCTCCGGGAACAGAAACAGCTTTTGCACATGGGGATAACACTTCGCTCACAGATAGAAATTCTAGGCACTACTGCAATGTGGATAATTAGTAATTGCAAGTAGCTATATCCGTTATAGACTATAACCAGTAGCCTGAACTTCTGCAAATTTTGAACAGGAAAATCTTAAAAGTACCTGCAAACTTGATCCCCAACACTTCTCTGTGGTAAATACTATCGTGTGTGGCTGGGACACCAGCTTAAATAAGAGTGCCTGAGAAAATTTAATTAGCCTGTCAGTGCTTTCATAACTCACGGCTCCTGTTTATCTTCGTATAGCTGCAATGTTTAACTCTGCTTTGCTTTTCTCCTCTGTTTTACAAGGTGCACAAGCACACGTTGRCAATAATAAACAACCGCTTCAATTGTGAGTTAACTGAACCATTTGAGCGCCGTAAATCTATTAACGAGCTGGTCATTAAATGAATCGCTGACCTATTTCTGAGCAACCCTACTAAGAAACTAGAACTGATGACCTATAAATGCAGCAATGTGTTAAGGAAATTTATTAGTTGCAAAAGCAGAGCAATAATTACTCACTTCAGCAGCTCTCAGCATCCAAAGACAAGATTCTCCATTGCCAGCTTCAGACAATTCACTGGAAGTCAAACTCTGACACCCACTACTGTCTAAGTGAAATGCCATGAAGCTGATACACAGAGAGTAAAACGTGCAGATCTTTTCTAAATCACATTTTATTACTGAAAGCTTCTATGCAATGTTTACAACAGGTCAGATTGGRAATGGTCCAGAGTCGGGTCTGGGATGCAGGCTCTCCCTTCCTCAGAGGGATGACTTTTAGATCTAGTACTTATTTTTGCAGTGGAACAAGCCAAACCTGTGGGACCCAAATATTCCTTAAGCCGGGGGCAGGTCTGGTTCCACATACTGAGCCCAGGCTTGGCCCATCCCTGTATAAAAAAAGAGGTTGAAAATACATTTTCAAACCTTCCATCTCACTCTGCGCAGCACATAAGAGGCCATGCAATACGTGAAGCCCTGCGGTCACCCCCGGTGTGTTATTGAGTAAAGGAAAGCAGTAGTGGGTGCAGAGGAAGTGGTAGCATGGGGAAGTGGTGTAGCCAGGGTACCGCAGCCCTAGCTGGTGTCTAAGCACTTCCCAACTCAAGCCAGTGCACTGAGAAAAAAATGATTACTTTTTTCCCCTCTTTCCTATGCAAAAACAGTTCCAAATACTCAGGTWGAGGCCGCCACGTGAACCAGTCATTCTGGCATTGGCTGGGGACAGCCCAGCTTTGGGAACTGCCCCTTTTTAGGGATCAGAAATGTGTGTCCCGCCATGCTGGGGTTAGAGTTTGAAAGACACGGGCACTACGGAAATCTGCCCACTCCAACCCTCTGAAGGCAATCTAAATGAACACACATCGATCATTTTTTTGTATCAGGTTCCTGCCGAGATACTTTTATGATAATCATCCCCAGGACAGTGAATTTAGATCATGGTATTATGGTATTAAATTCAGAAGTAGAAAAAAATAAGAAGAAAATAAAGGAGTCCACAAGAATAGAGGAGACTAGCAACACCCTCACCACAAGCACATAGGTGTTTCAGCTGAACTAGTGCTTGAAGAACAACTTTTTTTTTTTTTTTCTTTTGCAATCATTGCTTGCTTGACAGGCCCAGACCATATTACATCACTTCCTAAAAGCAATCAAACAGAGTCCATCTCCTGAAGAAATTTAACTCAGATGCACTCAGGCAGGAAACAGGAAATGTAAATGTTCTCGTGAACCAGGGAGAAAATAACAGAGAACATCAAGCCCGATCACTGAAGGGGTAACATGCAAAGCCCAAACTTCATCACGGTGCTTTCTGTCCTCTTCCTCGCTGAAGGATCTGCCGACGATAGTAAGTAATAAAGCGCTTTTTACCTTCCAAGGTAGGACTGCRAGACGCGTTTTGTGCCTGCAGCTATAGCACTGAGTTGGAGGCAACACCCTAAAAGCTGATCTCGAGGAGAGGATTTGTGAAAACTTGCATTCGGCTTCTTTTGGCTTTATTTACTGTCTGTGCTTTCAGCTCTTTCACTTCTTTCCTTAGTCATAATCTGGAATGGCAGCAATTGAATCCTAAAATTCACAAATTGCAAGGGTGTAGGGATCCAGAGTTTCTCATCAGAAGTCTTTGTTCCAACTTTAATAGTTTGCTGCTTTTTGCCATATTTTTCTAATCCTGTGGCCATACGACCAGCATTTAATAGCAAAGTCAAAGAACAAGTACTCTTCCCATTCAAGCGCCAGCTGAAAACGTCAGCGGTCGCAACAAACTGGAACCTGTTTAATCAAAGAACAGCCAGTTCTGGAGACAAGCGTGTTGCCCCCTCAGCTGCAGCACGGAGTGTTTGGCGCTGTGCATTGGGACACGTTTGAAGGGAAGGGCGCGTGCAGCGAGCCGCTCGCGAGCTGGGTGCTGGGGCGCAGCGCTCGCCCTCGCTGCGYGCTCTGCGTTTCGGGCAGGCACGAAGGGGCAGCAGCCGGGCGGCACAGGCAGCTGTGCCCCCAAACCCTGCAGTGGTGGCACCCCCGTGCCCGCCGCCGCCACACATGGGGCTCCCGCGGTTCCTCYGTGGGCACCACAAGGCTCCCTCCCGTGTCGCTGTAACCAGCGGGAGCTCCACGATGCCGAGGGAAAGGACTGCCACTCTCTGCTGTCGCCAGACGTCTCCGATCAAGATTTTAGAAATGCCTTTTTTTATTTTTTTTTCTCCTTAAAACCAGAACTATAACTAGGCTATAAAACAGGGCTGCAGGCTCCAGGCACACTGCCTGCCTTATCACCGACGGGAATCTTGCTTAGCTGTAAAAATGACTTAAGCAAGTTACAAAATGGTTCAGTCTTGTCTGCATAAATACCATCCTACTGTGTTACAAGCACGGTAGGAAAATATGTTCCGAGCTTTGAACATACCTCAGAATCAAACTAATTGGAGGAAAAAGTCTCATTATAAACTGAGCCACATTCCTTCCTARAAGTAGCAAGAACTGTTCCAGAGAAACGGAGGGGCAAGACCTGAGAAATGGGGTTTGCTTAGGTTGTGACGTTGTTAATGCATCTGGGAGCTGACGGGAATCACTTGTGCACTGCTGATGCCAAGGACTTTTGTCACCGTTTCCGCGTGCCGGAGGGGCCTGAGTCCCTGACCCTGCAGGCCTGTTCCCCGGCTGCTGCAGCAGCTGCCTGCCCCTCTCCGCAATGGGCATCCAAGGGCTGCCCCCAGCAGCAACGAGATTCCACCCAGCAGGTGCCCCAGCCCACTCCCCGCTGACTCCAGGGGCTTCTTTCTGGAAGATCCACCTCTAAACTCCAGCTGATTTTGGAACCCTCCCTCCGCGCGAGGGAGCAAGTCCCGGCAGGGCCACGGGTGCTGCGAGAGCAACTGCCTGGGCCCAAACGCGCGCTCGGCGCCCAGCGCGGCCAGGGAAATCTGCGAGGGAAGGGGGAAATCGCTCCCCGGCGCCCAGYGGGGCAGCGGAACCGCAGGGGTAGGTGCTGGTTTAGGGATCACGTACCCTGCGGCYACCACGTCAGTGACGGAGGAGCCCGTGCAGCTCGGGCAGCCTCCAGGGACATCCTTTAACACGGCAGACTTCTCTGCAGAGAAGAAGCGTTTTTGGGAAAGCCACATGCAAAGCCAGGGCCTCTAAGGATCTTTTTTGACCTGTTTCCCCTCCAGAGTAATGAACTCCAAAATTGGTTTGAACTCCTCAGAATTGACTGTTGCAATTTTCTAGCAAAGCAGTAAAATCAGAAATGCAAATACACTACATCCGCTCTTCAGTGCCCCTGAAAAGCAGATTTGAAGACAAATCTTTCCTTCTTTCAGATGAGTTCTTTGCATGCATTCACTCCTATTTCTCCATTTCACCCATACACACAAACTTTTCCTGCATTTTATTCCTGTATTCTCAGGGACATCTCAGGAAACCWGTCCCTTACATCATGTGCTCAAAGCCCATCAGTGAGCACAGTCTGTTGTCCCTCAAGAGATTTAGTGGTTGCTGGGGAGCCTCCAGAGCTTTGAAATCTTTAATTTCGGCATCCTCCTGGGAGCAAGGAGCACTGGAGATTTGCATCCCACTTTTTCTGAAGGCAGTGGTGCTGAYGGGTATCACTGATGCACAGCTGGAAGGCCACAAGATTAAGCAGATGTAACTACATGGTTAATTTGGTTTTCAAAACCTTACTCACAGGGGTGATAAACGAAACTAAAGGGCCACAGTTTGACTCTAAGATGTGTGACTCAATTTTCAACACCTGCAACGTGGGCAGTTAAAAGAGCACTTAGGCTGAAAGGCAGGACAGTAAGAAGAAAGCTGTTTGCATTGTCTGGAAACAAACTTAAATATTTACTTCCCATTTCAGGCTATAGCTAGACGATGCTTTCTAAGCACCCATTTTTAATTGGATCTTGCCTACAGATTAACTGTCCTGAAATGTTAGCTTTACTTCATCAGACGAGCTGACAGGCAGCCTGCGGGGCTGCAGGGATTCCTCATCCAGGCGGGCGGATATTTGGGACCTGCCACAACACGCGGCCGGGCATGCCCTGACCACTGCAAGGAGAGGCGCCTGGGAGGTGAGCAGTAAATGCACTGAGGGAAACACAACAGGAATGAGTCAAGGGACAGGAGCAATAACCATCCAGGCAAAGCACCGGGAGGAATGCTTATGTGGAGAAGAATGCTGCAGAACACAGTAACTTTACACCGATACGCACAGTATTATAACTCCGGGTGCTTTGTTGCCCTCTCCTGAGCCTTCCTTTCACTGTGTTTTTATAGCTTAGAGGAAAGTTTGAAGGAACAAAAAAAGCCCTTTCAAATTAATAGTTCTGACTATTTGATTTAGATCTTGCTTTTCCTCTATTCTATCCCTTTTTATTTATTTATTCAGGAGGCAGGAACTAGAGTGTAATAGGAAACATTCCCTTGGGAGACTCCAATCCAAGGGCTTGATGAGAACACAGCAGGCTGTCTGGTGATTAACAGCAGAACCAAATGTGCTGACTGCAGCTATTTTTCCTTGCCCCACATCCAGCTAAAATCAGAAACCTGTTTGCCTGCTTAGTCCATCAGGAAACTCATATCACTGTCTCTTAGTGCTACCACACAGACATCAGAGGAACAAGTGCAGCAACAACAGAAATGTTGTTTGCATCTACTTGCTCAGAGTCTCGCCTGCAGAGCTGCTCAGTAACTTTGACTCCCTTTGACTCCTTTTGACTCCCCTGAAAGGCAGGCTTGCCTTTGGAGGAAGCACCTCCAAAATTCAGGCAGCTTCCATTAGTAATTCAAGTGTATTTTATAAGTAGACAATACCAAACAGTATCCCCTGTTATACCCTGGTATCTCAGTATGGTGATGTACCTTTATCGTAACAGCCTTTYCATAAGAACCATAGTGGATCCTCCTTCGAGTGACTGTGAGTGCTTTCTCAGTGATGAAAAGGTCAGATTTTGACCCCATGAGGACTAAATCAGTGGTGGAAACTTGGAGCTTCTTAGTTTCCAGCATGCACTTAGGTTGTACCCATATGTCCATTAGGATGAGCCCAGCCAGGTGCCAACGCCTCCCTTCTTCCTTCTGCTTGGAGGGGATGGAAGGAAAGTGGCAGTGTGAGTTGGGCTGGAGCTGTGGTGGGTGCCCAGGGGCTCCTTGCAGTGCAGGTGACAAGTCTCCAGCATCGTCTTTTAGACAATATATTGGTCATGGTTACTGTACGAGCACCTGCTTCTAAGGCCAAGTAAAGATTTCAGGATGGGACCAAAAGCACGAGACTGAGCTCAGCAGATGGAGGGCATGTGTTCCTACAAGCCAAAAAGGTATACATATCATAAGGTTCAACTCTCTCCTTGTTTCACCCCATTAGCCTTGCTTTTCCATCCCAAACGAATGTCACGTTATGGTCAGACTCCATTTTGAAGGGAACTGATTAGATCTCTGCAAAATGAAGTAGCCCAAAAGCAGCTGGCCCCAGCAAATCTGCCTCTGGGCATGGAGAAGATCCTTGAACAATATCCCAAAAAGGCTCTGTCTTTCAGGTGCTCCCCTGCCATGCTCCAAGTCTTGCAAAGTGCAGCTTTCGTGTCACATGCCCATGCCCACCTCTGCTGCTGGGGCCAATGGGGGTTGGTCCTGGTGCAGCCCATGGAGCCCACTTGGGTACAGGTCATGCTTCCATCACCGTGCAAACCTTCAATCCATAAGCAATAGAAGGGAGATAGAAGAGCCCCTGTCCMGCATTAACAGGCAGGTAGGGTGCCCATCACCAGAGACCTGAGTCTGAGATTGAGCTCTGGTCCTCAGAGGCTAAACACAAGATTTAAGAGCAATATCCTTGCTAGCGCATTGTGCAGTTGGCGCTCTGCAATATCCTTTTGCAGAGGAGACTATCTAATCTGCTAAGAGGAAAGATCCTTTAACAGAAAATTGTGTTCAAATAAAAGATGCTGCCTTTTCCCTGGAACTATGCATATAGACAAAAATATATGGTAAGAAGGTCACTCTCTGTGCTTTGCCATTTTTTGTCTATTGAGTAGAAAGGGTAATTCTCTTTCACACACAGACAAATGACCTGGAATTTGCTTTGCAGCTCAAAACAGGCATATAGAAAGTAACAGAGACACTGAAAAGGGCTCTTTTGGAAATAAAGTACAGCAAAAATCCCAACTGAAAGTTCAGTGCTGCAGTTAATGAGATGTGATTGTTGCTTTTGCTTTAAAGTCACATCATGTTTTAAACATTTGAAAAATTCATTTTAACTCTAATAGTCAATGGAAAATAAGCTCTTTCCTCCACACCCTTTCCCACTTGTACTATTTTTAACAATGGGCTTGTCCTTATCAATGTATCAAATGAGGCAGGTGACAGGTTAGAGGAGGAACATGAAACAAGRTCGTAGGGATCATTCTGTGACACTGAGATGGTTGGTCTGCTCTGCCAGCAGTGTGGTTAATCACGCAGGGATCTACTGTGTGGCCTCGCTGCTTCATGGAACAACAATAATACATAGAGTTGCTGCAAACCTCTGGGGACTATAAACTATTTCTGGAAAGGGAAGTCAAGCAGCCAAAAATAATAATGGAGAGATCTCCTTCTTGATAAATGAGACCAGCCTTATCATGGGCATGGGTGGAAGGGCAGGCATGCAAGGGGTCATGGTGTGCGCAGGAGACCGAGACCATGCTTTGCTCTTCACTGAAGTACTGAATAGAGAAGAAAGTAACATAAAGGTGCTTTGCTACTGTAAAACTAACACTGTGATCATTGTATTGCAGAGATCAGTGATCTTTGCAATATTAAAATATCTTATTAAAGTGTTAGATGTTATTTATTAAGCATTAATTTTTTCCTTGTTTCAAGGAAAGAGTGAAATGATCAGTATGTGGCATAAAAATCTAGATAAATCTCTGCTGCCACACTTAAGTCTTTTTTTTTCTTCATTTGAATTGGGTTTTCTGGAATACAGTCTCATGAGATACTCATCTTCTTATCAAGAAAAATCTGACAGAAGAGATGCTGCAGAGCGGATTAAGCATGAGATAGCGCTCTAATCACAGCTTTCCTCTGAGCTCAGTGTCCTGCAAAGGACAGCTTGCCGTCCTTCTGATTTCTCATTTGTAAATGGAGATGATAACTGCTCATCTCTCAGGGCCATTATGAAGATGAATGTGTTTACCAAAGCATTTAAAATGCTAAGTACTTCTGGTTCCAGTCCTGTGAGATTCGAAATGCCAGCAATGAGGTGCTGAAAACCGTAAGCTCTTGCTAACTCTAGTGGAAACTGTGACTGCCCAGCACTTTACAAGAACAGCAAGAGTCTTGTCATTGCAAAAGCCATGAAAGCCTCTCCTGCTTTATTCCATAGAGCAAGAGCTGTGCCGTGCCAGCGCTGTGTCTGAACGGGCAGATAACACAAAAAGTCATCAGTTAATTTCATGCTAAGGAAATTATTGGCGGTTTTGCATGTGACAGCGCCCATGGTGTCATTTATCTAAGAGTGATCCCTGCACCCTTGGCAGCGACAGCAAATTTGGCATCAGTATGGAATATAGTATCAAGCCAGAATTTGCTGTAGTGACATCCTAACATTCATGAAAGAAGATCAGACTTTACCATGTGCTTCTCCCGCAGCCTGTAGCAGTTAYTACATTTGCAGGCAATAAAGTCTCTGTGCTATTATCCCTTCTAGTCCGTGCAGAAATGAGAGTCAGCAGCTTGTGCCGGCTTCACACTTCCCTCCACCAAGCCTGTTCTTTATTTGCCATGCAGTTAAGTGGGCTTAAAAAATCTGAGAAAGGCACAGAAGCTGAGAGATCGGTGAGCCTGGGATCGTGGTCTTGGTGTAGGGTGCAGACCTGGGAGTGAGGAGGGCGATGGGGGAGGCCGAGCCAGTAAGCGCTGAGCCTGAGGAGTGGAGCAGCAGGGCTTGGCTGAGATAAGCAGAAGGCTCTTAGGGTAAGGGCAAGACTGAATGTGAACCTGCAGGAAAAACTGCAGTATGTCTGTGCAAGACAGGCCATGTATGCCGACGTATCCTGGTAAAAGTCAGCTGAAAACTTGCAGTTACACATGTGATGCCCAATCTTTCAAAAGTGTGTGTGAGCGCACTTACTGGCTTTCTATTTAGTTTAAAGAAGTCAATTAAAAAGTAAGTATTAGAGCTGTAAGCTTTGATTTAATGAGAATGTCAATGTAAACCAGAAAATGTTAAGTTGCCCTCATATATTTGGCAGGCTTGGAGAATCAAACTGCTGGTTCAGGAGATGGATCACCAATATTACCCACCACTACAGTAACACCTTCTCCTGCTCTGCCTGCCACGTATTCTGCGGCTGTGGATGACCATGAACATGTTGCTACAAGAGCTACTGAGAGCAGCTTTGAAACAGAAAGTCCTGAATTGAATACAATGAGCAATAATGACAGCCCAGAAACAGCAGAACAGTCTATGTTGATATATGTTGTCCCCGCCGTGCTGCTGGTCTTGCTGATTTTGCTGATTACGTTTTTTGTAATACATCACAAAAGGAAAAAATCTAAACAAGGTAAAATCTATCTTCTCCCACATCAGAGGGATATTTTTAGAACAYGCGGCATGAATAAAAAGTTATTCCAAGGACTGGAATACCACATTTAGATATATTTCTTTGGTTCTATTTTTATATTTCATATATAGAAAAGAATCTGTTACCCCTGGTGAGCAATTTCTGCATACTTAGTTCTCCTTTAGGCATGAGCTAGTTCTGCTTTTTGGCACCTCCTGCTCACTTTGTACACCCACGGGAGCCGCGGCAGCAAGTTCTGCCTCCTCCTGATAATGGAATGAAGATATTACTCTGTGACTACACATAGTTATCCTCTCTTTATGGTTAATAACTCCTTGCAAGGTGAATTTAATGCTTCTATTGCCTGTATTATCCACAGAGTAAGGTTTTTCTTACATTTCTTGGAGCTTCCATAAAATAAGAACAAGCAAAAACATTTTAAGGGACATTTTTAGAGGGATCCTGTAGGGTGTTAGTATCTATGAAATCCCTAGTGAAGATCAAAGTAGCTACTTAGGAATCACGTGGTCACGCTGGCTGCGTGCTGCAATAGGAAGGGCGATATTTCAGGAGACAGCCTACACTCTGCTAACAAAGAAATCCATAAGACTCAAGTGCTAAGCAACAGAAACCAAACGAAGGTGTCGTATTAACAATGTGCCGTGGGTAAGTGAACTACCAAAGTGGTCACAGCAGTGCCTTTCCTGAATGTGAAYGTCATTTTAAACAGGACAGCGTGGAGCCAGCAACATGTATTTAACATTCACTTTGATCCCGTTTTTCAGGGCACTTTGGGAACGCTGCTGCCTCATCCCGGGGTCGCAACGTGAGCACAGGCTGAGCTCACAGTGTGCGCTCGCCCTGGGCTGCCCGATGGGGCTGGCACTTTGGGCATCCTCACGGTGGGATGAGCCGGGGGGGTTGGCTCTGCAGCAGGGAACACGCTGGAATGAGCAGGGGCTTCAGCACCCAGCCCGCCGCGCTGYGGGATTCAAAATAAGCCGATGGAAGGCAGCGTGCAATGTGGGTACTGCACGGGGCCCTTGGCTCCTTTTGAGAGCAGAGACTTTCCCATCACTTCAAGAATCCTTGGAGGGAAGCTATAGCCTGAATAAAGGCTGCTGCTCTGCTTGTTTACCAGTTTTCTTTCATCTGAGGGCCATAACTAGCTTCATATCCCTTYTTGCATCTGGCCAGTTCAGCATCATTTACCCAACTGCGATTCAAGCTGCCGTGCAAACCTCCCCACTTCTCTCCACGAGGGGCTCCCGCAGCCTCCCCCCAGACCCACTGACTGCAGCACTGTCGTCTGCAGCAAAACGTCCCGGTGTTTCCAGGAAACAGTTTCTGCAGCAGCGCTTCCTCCTCGGCATGGCACTTTGCTCATTGCATCCGCCTTGCTCAGGGAACGGGCTGCCTGCARTCTCATGCCCACCGTGGTGCTAAGTCTGCTCGCTCCCGGCAAGGCTGAGCTGGTAACAAGCTTCTGCAGTGTGTTAAAGACTAAGAGCAATGGGCTTCACTGAAAATTACAGGCAGGTTGAGGCGTTTTGCCTTTCATCTAAAAGTTAACTCATAGGCTTTTTGAAAATGAAATGTGTTTTAAGTGACCCTATTTAAGATTTGCCAATAATACAGACGCTGTATATACACAAACCGTAACTATGAACATCAACCTTTTTCTTTTCCAGATGAGCTGGGAAGCGAAAATGTAAAAAGGTAAAGTTTATGGATAATATTTTTTTTTCTGATTCTTTTGCTCTAATAGGACATAATAATTTTAAGCCCTCTATTAAATGATTTAATTTACCTATACCCCAAGCACTTCTACCATATGCAATTAYTCCAGTAACTATCTCTAGACTGTTAAAGCTGCTATAGAGCAGATCCATAAAAATCGACTGAAGTGTCATCTCCTTATTTAGCAGGCAGAGGAGGCATAAGACCAAACCCAGAACACAGGAGTTAAGATTAGCCAGGACAGGAGCAGTTGCTTGAGGACCCATGGCCTGCCACAGCTCCCCTGCCTGCTGAAGGCACCTCTGGCTCTGCCCCTGTCAGGGCACCACAAGATACAGACTCACCATGGGCGAGGGAGACCAGGTCTCACTCCCATTGTGTGCTTGTACTCTCCAGAATAAGCTCTGTCTTACTCGCTGGCTTTTCAAGTTTGTCTTCTCACTCTTACATGAGACAAAAGAGATCTCCCAGCTGCCATGGAAGTGATTCTTGAGCTTCTGGAAAAACAAGTTGAAAGCTGCATGGTTGTTATCTGAGTGATAACTTTTATCATTACCTTTTATTGAGTTCCATCTTGCTAATGAGTAATGGAGGTTATTATAATGGGTTCATGGGAAAAAGAAAGAAAAGAAAGAAGTGTTTCTGCTAAAAGTATTTTTTTTTTCTGTGCAGATCTAGGAATGATCAATAAAGGGAAGAGTAAAAAGGGAGAGAACACTTTAGCTGTGTGTTCCAGTAGGGCTGAGATCAACTGTTTTATTTTTCAGGTTTCCATTTAGAGTAGGGACCATTCTTGAATAGTCTCCCTGGTCCTGTCTCACAGATGTCCCCAAACAGTGCTGTGATGTTGCACCAAGCCCATGTCCTGCTGACTGACAGCGCAGAGCCGACCCTGTTGGCAGCTCTTTCATTCTTACCCCTTGGGCTGACGTTYTCGGTGTTCTAGATCAGGACACCTTTCCAGAAACACAGTCCTGGAAGACTGGTGTCTGGGAAGAGCAATTCTCGGGCAAAACTACTACATTATAGGGTTACTGAATTAAGCACTTTGTGTAATGCTTTTTTTTTTTTTTTTTATCCCTCCTCAAGTCCTATTTTTGAAGAAGACACACCCTCTGTTATGGAGATAGAAATGGAAGAGCTTGATAAATGGATGAACAGCATGAACAAAAATGGTACATGGTAACTCCTCTACTCCATCATCCCTCTCTTTCTAGCTGAGGTAGATACCATGAATAGTAAATCAATACAAGGCACTTTGTATTTGTGTCACTGATTTTCCTAAAGCATTTTTAGTTGTGTTCTTGACTCTCTGCTTCTAAAATAGCAGCACAAATGTCAGGGGTAGAAATTTTCAGAGCAGTATTTTAGTTTGTGTGGGAGCTTATTTTTAACATATGATGGAATATGTTTTGAGTTCCGAGAGGAAGTTTTTATTAAATACAAGTATAACTGTGAATATCATTTATAGTTTTAAATAATTTTTAAATGCTAAATAGCAGTTTATTTGAAGCATCCAGCCCTGTCAGCCTCCAGAGTTTCTAAAGTTGTGCTCCATGTTGTGCTATTGTAGAAGAAACTGCTCCTTATTCATAGGTTAGAATGCTGTTTACTTAAACCTGCTGCCTCCTCCAGGCTTGTCACTTGACTGCATCCCTCCCTGTTTTRCTTCCGTCCCCTCCTTTGCCACCTCTCTGTCAGGTCCATTAGCCCACGGAGCAATTGGTACCCAATGCAACTGCCACCTCCAGCATCATTCAGCTTCTTGTCTTTTAATTTTCTTGTATTTTTCCCTGTTTTTCTCCCACTCAAAATCTCCCAGTTAAAAATCTTTAAAGGCCTTATATCCTACTTCATGGCTCTCCTCAAAAAAATCAGGTCTTGGATAAGGCACTATTTAAAAGAGAGCTGATGATAAAATGGTACATAGAAAATTGTACTAGCTGCTCTTTATTTGACAAGAAATGCTGAAATCCTGGTATTTTTTTAATTCCCRCTCCCTTGCCTTACATCCACACGGCTCATTTGCCTGGCCTCCTAAAGACATTTTGTTTATCAGGATATAAAACTCTTCAGAGCATTTCTTCACATTAGCACAGTGCTCCACATGATGGGATTTTGACCTTCTCAGTCTGTAAGCACTAGCAGATAACATATGCCAAGCAACAGTAGTGAAATAAAGGCATGAAATACAGTACATTGGGAAATAGTGCTGCAAAACGATGTTAAAAATCTGTAGAGCAAAGGGAGAGAACATTTTATTTATTTTTCTTCAATATTGTTCCATAAAACTGCARTCCCAAATTCCAGGCTGGACTAGTGCTATGAAAGCATAGGTGCAACCATAAACAGAGGAAGGTTACCAAATAGTCCTCCTCCCTGCAGCTTAATGCAAACAGACCTCAAAGAAGTTCATTTGTATGTGTGCACACAAGCAACTACAATATATATAACAATAATAAAAAAATAATATCACAATGTCTGTCGGAGGACAGGAGGCTGTAAAACACGTAGCATTTATGCTACAGGGAGTAAGCAGATATTACAGATMAAAGACTGTAGAAAAACATGCTGCAGTTTTAAATTCTCCAATAGTGGCACCAAAAAGTTGATGCAATTTTCAAATAAGCAGAGAGGAATTGCTGAGATTAGCTGTTTTCTTGTTTTTTTTTTTTTGTTCTTTTTTAGCTGAATGTGAATGTCTGCCTACTGTAAGAGAAGAAGAAAAAGAATCAATTGCCAACCCAAGGTACTTTTAATTTACTATATTATTTGAAGAAATGTGATCCATGTCACTTCAAATTTTATGTATACAATTATAAAACAGACTGGTTTTTTTGCTCTACTTAATTTTTAAAGGTTTTATGTTCCAGGACTTTGATTTCAACTCAAACAAATGATTCCACGCTCTTTTATTTTTACACCAGTCGCTGCCTGTAAATTGCACCCATAAATAATCTCGCAGTTGTAAACCTGTGTGAGACAGACGCCCAGATGGTGCAGAGGGAGTTTTACTAGCTGATCAGGTTTTAATCACAGTTTCCTGAGGTGTTAATACGAGTATTCAGAACGGCTTCCTTGGCCCTTGACCAACAAGGAACAAGGCAAAGGGAAGCACCCGGATCCCCCGTGCCATGAGGTGCCCGTATGTCCCTGGGAAGCACTGCTAGATGTTTCAGCCGGGGTTTGACCTGCTGCACAGTGGTTTGGCTGGCCCCAGGAGAAAGCCAAAGGATTTCCGTGGTGCCCCCAGGACCGTGGTGCCCCCCTCTGCTTGCCAAGGAAACCCTTGGTGCGGTAGGCGCGGGGCCCGCGGGCGGCCACGGAGCAGAGCRGGGCGGCCTGAGGGAGCGGGCGCAGCGCGAGGCCCCAGGCCCGGCCTGGCAGGGGTGCAGGCAGCAGGAATGAGGGCTTCCAGCGGCAACCGGACGTGAAGCCAGCCSAGCTCTGCCCCCAAAACGCCCCTGTGACAGAGCTGGGCTCGCCACTCCAGATCTCCAGAATAGCCCGTCCCTCTTGTCGGGCTTTCCTGGCTCGGGAATGAAACCGCGGTGACATTAAAGCATCCTTGCTGGAGGGTTTACAACTCAGTTTCTGTAAAGCTGTTGTTTCTGGATGGCTTCAGCAAATGGCAGCTGCGTTATCGCTATCTCCATTTATCTGTATTTAAAAAGCCTCCCTTCATGACCCCTCCTTTTTTTGAACAAACGCTTAGACTCCAGTGGTCCAGTTGCAGACAGGCCCAATCATTTTACACTGAAACACTGTGAAAACTGCTTTGGATTTCCCTTCCAGCYTCTAAATGATAACTCACAAGGGGAAATTTGGTAAGGATAGGTAAATGCAAAGTATTTCTCTAAAATGTATTTGCTAACTACACTGCTTGCAGCAATAGAGTCACTGTTTAAGTGCACAGGTAGTGCTTTAATACATATAACTGGTTCATATAACCAGTGCCTTAGAACCAAATTTTAAAAATATTTATGTCTGTAAGATGCGTGAAGTCAAAAAAAAAACCCCACAAATAAAGAAGGAAGATTCATCTTTAAAACAGTCAGAGCTGCTCAGAAAAAAAAAAAAAAAAAAAGTATATTATTTAATAGGTTCAATTTCAGATTCTGGAAAATCACATTGGGAAAATTTATTCTCAGATTACGTTAATTTGTTTTTACATATTATTGATGATGTCTCAATGTGGGAAACACTTTATTTTGCATTTTTGGTCATTTTCTTTTATATAAAATTTTTGGTCATYTTCTTTTATATAAAATGCTGGATAGGGTTAATCAAGACTCAAATATTTTGGACAATCAACCGATTTTGATAAAAGATCATTTTGAAAACATTTCAAACAAAGCTTTTCAATAATGACATTTTGACATTTTCAGAATTAATTTTGTTCCAAAACTACTTTTCAGAGTAAGTGACTTTTTAATATGTTTTAAAAAGACATTAAAGACAAGAGCAGTGCAGTGTTGAAATATTTCTAAATATTTTCCTCAACTCAAAACTACTTTTTCAAATTTAATGTTGCATAAAATTTTGAAATATGCTTCATTTCTGGGGGAAAGAGTGTATGAAATTGTGGGATTTCTTTGTAAGCAAAAAATTGGTTCCCACACGCTTTATGATCGAGCCTTATCAGACCAAGATGCATCTTTTTTTCTAACCAAACTTAGCTGAATAAATAATGYTTTGAGTTTTGAGAACTAATGAAATTAGTTCTCAAATTAATTAGTTCTCAAAAGTTCTCAAAAGAGAAACTTTGAGAACTAATGAAATTAGTTCTCAAAAGAGAACTGCATGTGAATAAACAGATCTGCTTCAGCAGCTCTTTAGAGCAAGAAATGTGAAAGCTACTGATGCAAAATAAAGCTACGATTATAGCAAAAATTGTTACTATTGACCGTGAAGGTCGTAGATTTGGGAACAGAACTAGTCCTGGCTAGAATGTCCTGGCTCTGTTGTTGATGTAGGTCGCCTGCCTTGAGTGCAAGCCCAGAAAGCTACGTGTGAAGGGATGCATGTTGGCTTTGAAGCCGAGTGCTGAAATCCTGCTTCCCTGCAGCACAGGGGATGGGGAAGCCTCAGGGGCCTTGCAGGCTGCTGTGCCAGTGGAGTCTAAGAAATCTTAATAGGCACCTTTTTTTTTTAAAAAAAAAATCAAGTTTAAGAAATTCTTTTTAAGTTGAAAAAGTAAAGCAAAAAATGGTCTTTTTTTTTTTTCCCATCGTATAGCTTTTACAACAAGTTATAAACAGACATGTAACARTAATTCTGCATATATCTTTTTGTGCAGTGCTGGGTAACAACATACAGCAGCTTTGTTCTTACCACAACCCTCTATTTCTTGCAGTCCCTTAACCCAAATATTTTTAATGTAAATGCTATGTTGTTTCCTTTGGGCAAAAGACCTCTTCCTTGGCAGAGCTCAAGGCAAGAAGGTGAAGTTTTACAGCTCAGCTCTTTGTGCTCGTCTGTTTTGTAATGCAACACAGCCAGGACGTGTTGGAGCAAAGGTCTCGCACGCAGCCCATATGTGCCCATATGTGCCTAACGCCAGCGAGCAGGGCTTCAAGGACAGGAGGCTTTGGGGTATCTTTGCCTGTTTCTTGGTGGGCGAAGACAGCCAAGATAAGGAATCTAGGAATCGTGTATATCACTCCCTCATAGGGCTTGGGAACAGATGGCACCAGGTGGGAGCTGGATTGCRGCTGGATATGGTATGCTTATGGATATGGGTATGGATATGGGTATGCCAGAGCCATTATTCCACCTCAGTATTGTGGTAACCTGAGGGGGACCCTCCTCAATCCAAGGGCTATCCTGTTATGGAGATACCAGCTATGCCCCAAGGGAAAAGTACAAGCCCAGGGAAAGACCCTAGCAGGCTGTCAATGCAGACTGAAATTTAACCAGCTAATAAAATTGTTGCATTTTTAACGTTGGTGTGAACAAAATAGATCATTAAGAAAATTCCTGAGAGCAAGCTGTTTGGGCAGAAACCAGATGGACRAAGAGAAAATTCAGTTGTTATGAGGAAGAATTTAATATAAAAAAATCCATGTGTAGAAAATGAGCATAAAATGTGGGAAGAGGGGAATTTGCYTTCTGAGCCCTTGCCTGTGCTCCGGAGGAAGCTTGCACTGAGCTGCCTCTCTAGGCTGCAGAGAGATCAGAGGAGCCCGCGCTCACAGTATGTAGCACCACAGCTGSGCTCACTTCGTGCGCTGCACTGCTGGCAGATTTGTTTGCTGTAACACCTTCTTGCACACTGGAAAGACAGCGTGGATTTTTTTTTTTTGAGAGAGAGAGAGAGAAGCAACCAAACACCATGAAAGCATGACATATATATATTTTTTCTTTTCCATGTACACACAGTGATGGTGAATCATGAAGTCAAAACATCAAGGACTGGTTRAAGGGAAGCAACACCCAAGCTAATGATCCGCCAGATGCTGGATGAACTGGATTTAAATGCAATTCATCTCAAAAGGCTAGAGAAGAAAATTCTTTCATTGTGCCCTGCTACATGCATTCTTCAGAAAGGAAACACCACCAAGGGGAAAAATAACAATAATAATAATAATAAGGAGAAAAYGACATAGGATGGTTAGGGATCTGACAAACTCATTCTACAATGAGATTCAACACCTGTAAAGAGAAGTCTTTATTTCTGATTTCCTTTCCTCCAAAGATTCTCAAAATAGTACCTCTCTATGCAGATCTCCAGTGCTGCATAGTACAGAATGTAAAACTACTCGTGTTCCAGCTTTGATTTTCTTTTCCATTACAAACAGCATCTACAGTTCTGGATTCAGCAGTTTAAAAACAAAAACACAAGAAAGATAAATTCATACCTATGCAATGCTTGTTTTTAACTTGCTTTTTGGTAATGGTGCGCTGGTTTGCACAGGACTTCCACTGGAGAAGTAAAAGACTAGGAGCGACAGCGCATCTCTGGGGACAAACGGAGCAGCCGAACAGCCTCTCTCAGAGGAGCCTCCGGGAAGCACCGGCAGCCCAGCACGGGCTCCTTCTTTGCTGCAAGCTCTTTGGATTTCATATTAAAGGCCTTGTAGAAAAAAAAATGTTATTTTGCGATTTCCTTTGAGTTAATTATCTGCAGAGATCAGTATTCTGTGTTAGCTCTCATCACTTAGTCCTTCTCTCTGGTCAGCTCCAATAATCATTGAATTTAGGAACATTCGACTCAAAAATGTTTGTTTTACAAAAGTACAGGTTGGGAAGCTGAGCAATTCAATAGATAAATAAATGTGTGCTATTCAGAACTCCTTGCTGAAAATTTACAGATGCAATAAATATTTTCAGTTGTTCCATTTTGGAATATTCAGCTCGTGATCTCCGAAAGACATTGGGACACTCTGAGAGTGCACAGACAAGTTACCTCTGCTCATTTAAAATACAAAACTCATGCTCTAACATATCTTCTGCCCTGTTATATATTACCTATCTGCMTCTCTCATTTAAACATGGATTTTGTACAAACTCAGTAGCAGTACCATCAATTTTGTTTTGCCTGCAAATATTTCATTAATATGTTTACTGATATGTTCAACCGAGCTGGGATAAGAAAAAAACAAATAAACAAAATCCCCAGGCCTCTGGGGTGATAATTAATGGCCACTGGCATCTGGCAAATACAGGGGAGGGTTTCGCTTTGTGAGTAATTGAGAATCTGTCAGATCATAAAAGGAAAAGATGTTTACAACTGAGAGTTTCCTGCATATGAATTGACTAATCATTTCTTCAAGGAGTAAAAAAAGCTGCTCATTGTTTCCAAACAATTTATTGCAAACACTGAATTTTAAAAGCAATGGTGATTTTATTTTTCCTGCTTGAATGATTTTTAACTTTGCTCTCTAGAATATCGGTTTCAAATAATGCAGTCACAAAAGAAAAGACTGAAATCCCATGGG